TCGATTAGACTCAATTAGACTCTTCTCAAAAATAAATTTTAAGTCAAGGCTATTTGTCGCCACCACTCTTTCTATTTTAATATTGATAGTGCTTTTATGGGAGTTTGAAACCAATCAGAAATGGTAAAAATTGTTAAGAATTCATTATCTTTATTATTGGTAAATGCGTTATCATCTACCCAATATATAATTATTCTAAATATTTGGTCTAAATATCGAAAATCAAAATTTGGAAAATGGAATAATACCAGACACTTGAAATTTAAGGTTTTAAAAATTGAATATGCAACATCAAAAGGAGTTTAACATGTATTTTTTATTTTACAACAAAGACATAAATAAATTTGAAAAGTTATTAAGTGCATTTAACTTAAGCTCTTATAAAATTAATATTCTTTCTATTTAATTGATATCAATTCATTTAATTGATAGAAGTCATAAAGGTATTTGCAATTTCAGAAATAGTTTTGTGGTAAATCATTTTTTAATAATAACTGTCTAAGTTTAGCTTTAAATTCATTTAATATCATAAGAGTTTTAAGTTTAATTAATGAAAAATTAAAAAATATTTAAAGTTAAAATTTGCGAGAAATCTTTGTTTACTTAAACATTGAGACCTAATAGTTTAGGGCCTATTGAGCATATTGAGAGCATATTGAGGGCATATTGAGGGCATATTGAGGGCATATTGAGACCTAATAGTATTTATGTTTGAATTGTTTGCGCACGGTTTTTGCAACTTTTTCAATGTTTTAAATATTGTGTTTAAATATTGTTTAAATATTGTTTGAGATTGGGATTTCAAAAAAAATTTTAATTATTTCCTAGAAAATCAAAAGGCCTTTACAAAATTTGATCCAATTAAATCTAACCATAAATTTAATTGGATCATATATATAAATAAGGTAATTAGTTTATTCATTTGATAGAATCAAAAGAAAAACAGTGAAAAAAGTTGTTTCTTCATGCTTACCAAACAGAACCGCCCCAAAAAACAACACCGTAACCCTTTAGTAACAAGTCCTGTTCAAGTAGTCACAAAACTAATAACAAACCAAGAGCGTGACATAGTTTATGGAAGATTCCTTACGAGTTATGGTTTCTTTAAATAATGACGTACGCTAGACATGTTAGTGTTTGCGTTAAACACCTAAGTTGTTGACTGTGCTGAAACATTCGAGAACTTAGACATTGAGTACCCGATAGATAGATTATAAATTAAATTTAGTGTTGTTGGCATAATGGCTTTGAATAATAATTCGTACATTTTAACAAAACAAGAAGCTTAATCTTCACCATTTTTTAGTTTTAAAACAAAAATAAAACAAGGAAGTAAAAATTTTTTTACTTTAGCGCTCCTTAGATTTTAGACGCTAATGAGCCCATTGCATTTATACCGCTTGTACTGTCCTTACCTTACTACAGTTCTAGATATGGTATACTTTTTCACGAATATATATCAACGATAAATACAAATTGCTAGATTTAGCAGTTTGCACAAAAACACTGCGCATTGTAAATGATAAAAATTTAGTTAATCAAGCATAGGGACCGGCGAACATTCGTTTAAATTCGGATTACGAAGTTTTCTGAAAGGCGAAGTTGACTTCGGCTTCAACTTCGGTGCCGAATTTGAAATAGGAATACGGCTTTCAGTTAAATTCGGTGACAATTACAAAATTTCATTTAACTTTCAGTTAAGTTCGAAAGTTATTTTTTTAACTTTTATTAGAAAATAACTTTTTTGAATTTTATTAACAGTAATTTTTTTTTTTTTTTTTTAAATAATTATCACTGTTCAAAAAATCCTTAGGTCAACAAAAAGAGAAATATTTAGCATAATATTCTTCACGATCTTTTTCCTTTATGAAATTGACTTTTGAAATTTTTCAAAAAACGTCGCTAAAATTCTTTTGATTTGTCTATAATTTACGTCTCGCTATAAGAGGGGAGGAGGTTGGTGGTTTTATGACGACTCATACAAAACTTGCTACTTAAGTGTTACAATTTTGTAACGAGAGGGGGGGGGGGGGGAGAAGGTCAAAAACGATCGAAAAATGCGTGATGTAATTTATGGACGACACCTTTCGTTCCCAGGAATTTGCATAAAGATTTCTTAACTTAAGTTCTTGATGATTTAGCACTTTTAGATAACACATTTTTTTCAACGCAAACAGTTCTTTTTTGTAAACTTCTATATTTTGTTTTAATAAACAAAAAACTACTTTGTTTCACCTGCGTTTTGTTATGTTTTGAAATATGGGGTGGAATGCAAGAAGCGAACTCGACTTGAACTTTACATTATAACCAATAGCGACAGAGTATGGGTTTTCCCCTCAAAAAATACTCTGCCGCTATTGGTTACAAAATAAAGTTCAAGTCGAACTTGCTTCTTGCATTCCACCCATGGTTAATAACGAGCTAAAAAATAACAACTTTGGTTTATAAAAAATGATTATTCGGAAACTTTCATCGTTTTTTATAAAAACAGTTTAATATTTTAGTTCGCAAAAAAGTTCGTTAGACATGGACAACGGCCCATGTTATTTTTGGTGTTTTATTTTTTTAAAGTTTTTAAATTTTTGTTAATTTATAAAAATTTTGATTTATAATATTGCAAACTTAACTAATGCTTACATTATGTGTCCAAGCCTGGTACATAACTATTGTTTACATAATGTGCATATTATCAATCAAAATTTTGATAGTTAAACAAACTTACCTTCGATTAGATTTAAATTTTACTTAATATTTTCTAGAACTTTTTTTTAAAATCTAATAATGTGTTAAATACCCGATAAAAATGATCAAAAGGAATTATAATTAAGTTTTCATTTATTTGATTGTTAACTGTCGTTTCTATGTCCATCTCCAAAAAGTAAAATTTGTGATTAACTTTTTATTTCAGTTAACTTTGAAAAAAATTAAATTTAAAAAATGAAAAACATACCTCCAGTAAGTTAAATCTGGGAGCATTTCTTCAAAAACGCACCAGTAAATTTTAAATCAACTTTTAAGATTTGCGGAGATATACTTGCGGAGATATAATAGTCACACCTCAACACTCAACATTCACTCTTCACGTTCACATGAAAAGTAAGCGCAAAAGCATCAACAAACAAATTGAGGAGAAAAAAAGAGAGTTGTTGCAAAAGAGCTTGCTAGTATAGCAAAAAGATCCAAAAGTGGCATTGGTCTTTCCATTCAACTATCAATTACAAAATTCATAGTACAAAAGAAAACTTATGCGGACAATTATACACAACAAGTTAGACTTGACAACAATCTGACAGCTATGCTTTGCAGAACCAACACTCAATTCAATGTTGTTTCTACTACAGGTTTTGTTGATTTCATCATGTTGATTGACTCTAGGCTTACCGTTAAAGACACAACCAAATATTACAGAAAGTACCTGCCAGAACCTTATGAAAAAGTTAAGATATGTGTCTTTGCTGACTTTGCTAAGGATTCCAACACTAACTGGGGTAGCATTTACTGCTGATATGTAGAGAAGTAGAAACATTTATGCTTTCAGTGCATTAACATGCCATTACATTTCACAAAAATTTGAACTTAAATCATTTCTTGTTGGAATGGAACCATTCAGGGATGAAAGACACACTGGGAGAGCAAATGCCATTTAGTTAGACGCCCTGATTGACACGCTTAATTTGCTACTAAGTCACAAAAACAGTTGCTCAAAACTTCAACTTTCACATTTTGTCTAACTTCGTATTGACTTTTTCATAAATCTAACGCTTTTGTTTAAGTTCGCATTTTACTATTTGTTACTTTAAAAAAAAAAATTATTTATGTTTCAATTTTTTGTTACATTAAATTTTTTATAAACCAATATCTTTTTCTTTAAGTTTTTATTTTGCTTATGTTCATTTAAAGTTTAGACGAACTAAACATTTTTGTTATCTTTTTGTTTAGTTTTGTTATAATAATAACACATTTCAACTTAGCAGTTAAAAGAAGGTTGCAGTTGCAAACAGAAATTATATGTGCTGATCACACTTTTCACTTGATACTGACAAAAAGCATTGCTAACATGAAACTGATCAAAGAGTCTGTCTTGTCTTGTGTCAGCCTGTCAGTCAGTCAGTCTTGTGTTAAAAAATCACCTATAAAAAGGTTATTTTACCTTGCAAGACTAGATGGAAAAGTTAGTTTTTGAGTGTGAAGTCAGTCCTTGACATCCAGAATAGTCTTGAAATTTTAGTCCAAGAAGGACACTTATTTCAGGACAAAGTTCCAGTTTCAGATCTAACCGAAGATCAAAAGTTCTATAATTTTTCTGTCACAATTTCTGCTGAAAAAACACCCATAGTTCATCAAATGGTCCCAGGCATCTTCAGGGATTTGCATAAGTAATTTTTGACTTTATATTTTAGATCATTATAACTGGTTTCTTTTATATTTTTGTGAACCTAAAATTAGATGTATTTTATATTTAAAACTAAATTAACTTTTCATTCACGTTTACTTTGCTATTTTGTATTTTCAGGGCCGTGCGGTGCTATGATACAAAGAGGCGGCCGCCTCAGGCGGCACCATTAAAAAGTAGCGAAAATCAAAATGCAATTTCAGGGTTGCAATAATAATTAGGTACTAAATCATAAACTGGACTCATTTAAATTTTAATTACTACCAAACTCGTGAATGTTTTTATCACTTTAAAAGTTTTTTCATTGTCCACATTTTTCTATAAAAATAAAAAAAAAATTTCTCCCTCATTTAGTATTCGCTTTTGCTATTCCTTTCAATATGAATAAAAACGTTTTGAAACGCATATTAGCGTGGACTATTTTCTTACTATGTTTCAAAATACTGTTTTCAAACGTTTTTAAACGTTTGTGTTTGCCTGTCTTTGCAAGTTAAATTTTAACTTTGTAATGTCATCATGTTTTTAACTGTTAAAAACATGATGACATTACAAAGATTTTACAAAATTTTTACAAAAATTTATTACAGCAGTGACAGCAATCGTCAGCATGGAACATAAAAGAAAAAAATTATCTGGAAGTCAATACAAAAAGAAACGCCTAAAGAATGAGGAACAAGAAAGAAAGCTCAGCAATGTAATAAAGAAATTCTTAGTACAAAAGTGCGGTTTAGATGAGCCATCCACATCAGCAGCAACTGATTTGGCAAATAACAACACAGTGCCGCCCCAATCACTTCCAGAAGAAGTTGTTGAAGAGAGCCAAATACTAACACCATCAGATCTTCATGAACAGCCGGGCAGCACATCCACGTCAACTGCGACTGCCTTGGATTTGGCAAATAAAAACACAGTGCCGCCCCAATCAATTCCAGAAAAAATTGTCGAAGAGATCCAAAAAATAACATCATCAGAAGTTCATCAAGAACCGGGCCGCATTAGCAGTGGCAGTCAGCAGGTATTAAAAGAAATTCCTTCAGATCCTGCATTATGGCTTACTTTCTGCATGTCATCTCAAACTCGTCAACTACTGGTTGAGAGGGGTCCCCATCAAATTAAAGAATTCGAGTTTCCTATTAATAAAGGAAAGCGTAGATTTTTGCCCTCGTATTATTCGAAAGTGTTGAGCAATGGTGAAGTCGTTGAGAGAAGTTGGCTTATTAACTCTATTGCAAGTGATGCCGTTTTTTGCTTTTGTTGTATATTATTTGATAATTCGTCTGATATTAGTGACTGGCCCAAAAAAAGCTATTCTGACTGGAAAAATCTTATAAGAGCCCTCACAATGCACGAAAAGTTTGTAAATCACAGAAATGCTTTTAGAGCATGGAAAGAATTGGACATTCGATCGAAGCAGAAAAAAACTATTGACGCTGAATATCAACGAATTATGGATATGGAACTTCAGCATTGGAGAGGAGTTATAAAAAGAATTATGTCAATAATTAAACTATTGGCCTCACAATGTTTAGCTTTTCGTTGATCAACTGAACATTTGTTTCAACCTAATAACGGGAACTTCCTAAAGTTGGTAGAATTACTTTCTGAGTTTGATCCAGTTATGGAAGAACATATCAGGAGAGTTCAACGAGAGTCTGATAAATGGTCAGTGACTTATCTAAGCAATAATATACAAGATGAATTGATAAATTTAATGGGAAATTCAATTTTAAGAAAAATTGTCGAAATAACAAAAATCGCTAAATATTTTTCTATAATCGCTGATCGTACCCCCGACGTCAGTCATTATGAACAGATCTCCTTAACAATAAGAGTTGTTACTTTTAACTCCATTCAAAATAAATATGAAATTGCAGAATTCTTTATTGGTTTTTTTGTAGCTAGTGATTCAACCGGAGAAGGTTTGGCGAAACTTATTCTGACAAATTAGGTTTTGAGTTAAAGTGGCTTAGGGGATAAGGCTATGACAACGGAGCCAATATGAAAGGAGTAAGAAAGGGTGTTCAAAATAGAATACTTGAAAAATATCCAAGGGCTTTTTATGTGCCCCGCGCATGCCATTCTTTAAACCTTGTTGTGAATGATGCAGCGTCTTCTACAGAAACAACATTTTTTTTTTCTATTGTACAAGAACTTTACAATTTTTTTTCTGGTTCTACAAAGCGTTGGGAAGTGCTAAAAAAATATGTTTCTCAATTAACTCTGAAACCATTAAGTGCTACTAGGTGGGCAAGCAGAATAGATGCTTTAAAACCTTTACGATTTCAACTTTGCGAAATCTATGATGCATTGATTCTGATAATAGAAGACGTCAATAGAGATGCAGAAACTAAAGTTAAAGCGAGAGGGTTAGCAAAAAATATTAAAAATTACAAGTTTATATGTGGAGTAATTCTTTGGCATGATATTTTGTTTGAAATTAATTAAGTTTCGAAGCTTTTGCAATCTGTTACTATAAATATATCAGATTGTGTAAGGATGCTATCAGAAACCATAAAAAAAGTGAAAAGTTAGAGACAATCTGGATATATTCAGATGAAAATTGCTGCAAAGGAGATAGCAGAGAATCTCGAATGCAGTACAGAATTTCCTGATGACACTGAAGTTAGACCCAGAAGGAAAAAGCGTCAATTTGACTATGAAAAAGCTGTCGATGAACCCTTAACAGAGGAGAAAAAATTTAAAATAAACTTTTTCAACTATATTCTGGACATTACCCTTAATTCTCTGAATGAACGATTCACGCTTCTGGAAACCCATAGCAAAAAATTTCAGTTCTTATATGACATTTTAAAACTCAAGGATATAGATGACAAAACGCTAGAAAATTATTGTCTAGTCTAGAGTTTATACTTTCGGTTGAAAATGAAACAGATATAAATGCAAATGACCTTAGAGAAGAATTGCGTGATGTATCCAGAATGCTACCATATTCTGCGAAACCTTTGGATGTTTTAAATTATTTATGCCAAAATAGCTTAATTAGTTTGTATCCAAATACTGTTGTAGCTCTGAGAATTTTATTAACTCTCCCTGTATCTGTAGCTAGTGGGGAAAGAAGTTTCTCCAAATTAAAACTAATAAAAAACTACTTAAGAAGTTCAATAGGACAAATAAAACTTAAAAATCTGGCATTAATTTCTATTGAATCTGCAATGGCTAGCACTCTAGACTACACATCAGTAATTAACGAATTTGCTAAAGTTAAAGTTAGAAGAGTAAAGCTGTAATACTGTACATTGTTGTAGTTTATAGTTGAAATCATTATTTTAAAATTTCAAAATAAAAAGTAGAATTTGTACATTTTGAGCAGTTTTTTTTTAAATCACAATCGAAGGTTATTTTAAAGAAAAACATTTAAGGGGCGGCATTTCGAAGATTTGCCTCATAATGAGAAAATCTACCGCACGGGCCTGTGTATTTTCATGAAATTAGCTACATATGTATTTACTAATTTACTATTTTTTGTGCTTATAACTATGTTAATATCAGACTTGCTGACCAAAAGAATGAAGTAGATATGAAGCAGTTACCAACAGTTATAGATGAGCAATTTACAATATACTATAAAGAAGATGGCGTGGAGAACACCACCTAAGCGATTGCTCACATGCTGAACCCAGTCTTTTGAGGCCAATTTCTTAAAACAAAGCATGACAGATATGAACTGACCAAAACATGCATCCAAATTAAACATCATCTAGATTTATCTGCTAAGGATATTGACACACCCTTACTTCTGGAGCGAACACCTACTAATATTACACCTACAATCATTTTGAAATTTTTTAAAATTTGGATAAAAAAGTTTTATAATACTTTTTAAAATAAATAATGTTTTAAGATCCAAAATTCAATTCAAAACTAGATTAGTTCGTTATAATATATTGCTTACTGTAATATTCAGTTGCCATGATGAATTTTTCATCAGAAACTCGATTGTTTTGGTTTTCGTAAAATAGGGAATCGATTAAAGATTCAATAATGAATTAACGCATATTAGATTATTTTTTTATTTTCTATAAACATGAAATAAACATAAACGTTGGTTTTTAATAAATAGTTGGCATTCAGCATGACAGTTTATACGCACTTGGCATATAGCATGCCTTTGATTAAATATTTCTATTCAACTTTTTATTCAAACTTTTAAGCTTCTTTTGAATATTTTTATTCAACTATTTAAATTAGAATAAAAAGCTATTTTCAAATAAAAGTTTAAGCTTGAAAAAATATTGAATTCTTATGTAATTAATTAAGGTAGTTTATTTTTTTGCGGATATCGGGTTAAATGCGGTAGTTCTGGAGGCGTAAAGTGATCCTTAGCTAACGGTTTTAAGCAAAGTGATTATTAGTTAACGATCGTTAGTTTAACGCCTGTTGAATCTCGTCAAAGGTTTCTAAAAGTCTCTAAAGTTCGTTAGAAAAGGAATTGTTAGCTAACTGTTGATAGCGAAATTCTTATGAACATAAGAACGTTTAATTTCCCAACGATTAACTTTACATTTTATGCCTTTTCAATGTTTTTTTATAAAAAAAAAAAAAAATTTTAATCAAAAAAGAATTGAAAAAATTTAGTTATGGGTTTTCAAAGCAATATTTATCTTTGCCCAATCAAAATTACTTTGACTTCATTTTTAACCAACAGTAGTCCAGTTAAATCATTTTAACCAATCAAAATTGTTTTATCACGTGACTTGTGTGTATAAACTTTTGCATTTTTTTGAAAATATTTTATAAAACATAGTTGTGCTTCTACAGTGTTAGAACCAGCGCGGTGTTATAAAACTTTACATCTTAAACTTTAATACATTATCCAAACATAAAAACCATGGTTTCTCAATGCAGACAGAACTTCGACCGAGAAAGCGAAAATGCTATTAACAACCAAATAAACATGGAGCTGTATGCAAGTTACCAGTATCTTTCTATGGTAAGTTAAACATTTTTTAAATTTGGATGTTTTACGATTTGTTAGTAGAGGAAAGCTTATTTTTTTGAATAAATATTTTTAAAAATTGGAATACTTAATAAATGAATGGAAAAATACCATTGATAAGCTTTAAAAATTTCGTTCATAAGTTTTGCGTCTTTTTTATTAAAAAATAAAAAACAAATATGTTAAAAAGTTTGGCGTCTAGGTTCATTTCTTGGTTGATTTGTTTTGTTGAGTAATGCTGTTGTGCACAACTTGTGAGGGTAAACATAATGTTTGGTTTCTGTTAAAACTATTTGCAATAGCGCTTTCTAATACAAATGTTCAAATACTTTTGAATTTTGTAAACTATATTTTTGTAATAAAAAAATTAAAATTCAACCCTTCATACAGGGCCGTCCCGAGGAAAAGGGCGTAAGGGTCTAACCTCCCTAGGAAATTAACTATTCGGTATATTTTGGACACTGCAGTCGGCAAAATTGGAACTCTAGTTGGCAGTCAACAAATATTAGCTGACGTAGGCCTTTTTTTATTATTTGCAGACTTTATTTGGCAAACAACTTTTTATAGGCCTTATTTGTCAAAGAACAAAATGACACCCCCATTCCCTCCTTTAAGATCTTATCGAGACGGCCTTGCCTTCATAAGTCGGTCGATTTTAAATTACCACGTAATTTACCACGTAATTTACCACGTAAAAATACCACGTAATACCACGATTTTAAATTACCACGTAAAATACAATTAATAATAGAAAAATTGTAATTGCCAAACAATACATTTTTATATTAATAAACGAAGAGGTTTTACTATTTATGAAAAATACTCTTAAGGTGGTACACTACTAAAAAAAATACTGATTTTGGAGTAAAATGTTGTTCAGATAATATAAAAGTTGATTTTTTTTTTTTTTTTTTTTTTAATGTCAGATAATATTAATGTTGTTCAGATAATATAAATATTATGAATATAATAATTAAAAATCAATTTTTCATAGGCTTATTATTTTGATCAAGATGATCTTGCGTTAGCTGGATACTTCAAGTTTTTCAAGCATCAATCAGATGAAGAACGTGAACATGCTCAGAAAGTAAAAGCCATTTTTTATTTATTTATTTTTTATTTTTAATATTTATTTTTAATGCAATTAAAAAGTTTTTAATTTTTATAATGATATTCTTATTGTTTTAATTTTTAGCTAATAAAATACCAAAATAAACGTGGTGGTCGTGTAGTTTACAAAGATATTCAAGCTCCCCAATTTCAACTAGATACGCCAGTTTCAGCTTTAGAAGCAGCGCTTGATTTGGAGAAGAAAGTTAACGAGTCGTTGTTAAATGTTCATGCCATCGCTAGAAATCTCAGTGATCCACATTTGTGCGACTTCTTAGAATCAGAGTTCTTGAACGAACAAGTTGAGTCAATCAATGAGATTGCCAAGTTGATTACTAATGCTAAGAGATGCGGCAATAGTTTGGGTGTCTATCAGTTTGATAAGTTGAGCATGTCAAGTTAAATGTCAACGTTTTTTTTAATTTTATTGTTTTGCCTTGAAAACTATACAGTGCAAACAACGTTTATTGTTAAAAAAAAAGAAATCCTAATAAAAAAAGTTACTGTTATTTTAAGTTTAGCTAATAAATTTTTTAAAATATTTTTTACGTTGGAAAGTTTGCGATTGATTAGAAGTATAATGACCGTTTGCAAAATTGCAATACATGCGTGCACGCGTTTTTCTTAATAAGAAGACGAATTTTAGTAACAATTTTGTTTCGCTCACATTAAAAAATAAACATATAAACCTTGATACTATATAGCCCCTTTGTACACCATTTTTACAAACGTACACAATTCGTTTTATTCATTTTTCACTATGGAACTTAAGCAAAACAATAATTAAAACACGATGTGTACATTTGATTTGTGCACACCAGTAGTATTTTATATTTTAATGAAATTAATGCTTAAATAAAATTTTACATACCCTATAAGGAGGTCTAGTACATTTGTTTTATCAACAAGCAAAAAATTTTTTAACGCATTTCATGTGCCCGTGTACGAAGGGGATAGAAACAATATTTAACTGTTATGCATAGGGGCGTTGGAATGATTTTTCGATTGGGAAGGATAAGGAATTATATAAACAAAACTAACAATGTCTATACTGTGCGGGTCAAAATAAGACAAGTTACTTTTAAAGATAATTTTACAATGAACAAAGAAATCTTAAAGGCGATTAGTTAGATAAAATTATTTTATAATGAAATAGATTTTACTCACATCATATAAAAATTGACTCGAGTCCACTCCTTTTACTTCTTTTTTGTTGTTGTTGTTATTAAGGTGATCCAAAAATTCCTAATGGTCTTATCACGGAGCACCGCTTAAGAGTATTTAACCAGAAAGTTTACGCCCCTTTTCTTACTTCTCCTCGTGATATTCTAGGACTTCTAGAATATCAAAAATTTGGAGATATCTGTCTTAAAAACAGAAAAACGGTTCAGAGACGGTTGGCTGAAGAGAATTTAATGTGTTATCGTCGAACCAAAAAACCACGTTTAACTGAAGCCATGAAAAAAAAAAGCGACTGGAATGGGTTAGAAAACACCAGCATATGATTATTTAAGACTGGAGTAGAGTAATTATAATTTATAATATTGTAAGAAACCAGAAAAATTTAAGGGTAATAATTTATTTTTGAAATATCTTTGAAATGTTTTATCGGTCAAATATATTTAAAATGTTTTACAGGCCTGCTTCTCGGACCGATCAACATTTCAAATTTTGATGGAAAAAAGTTCATTTGTTCGACAACGCCCAGAAGAAAAATTCCTAATATTAACCCCATAAAAAATCTATGGGAGTTCACAAAACAGAAAATTGCCAACGAAATCATCACTACCAAGCAGCAATTGATAGACATCCTTGTAAGAGAGTGGAATAGCAACCCCAGTCTCTAACACAATGCAAAAGTCTACATAGATAGCATGCCCAGATGCCTGAAATCCGTTGTTATAGCTAAGGGTGGCATTACAAAATATATAGATTATTAACTTATATATATATATATATATATTATATATATATATATATATATATATATATATATATATATATATATATATATATATATATATATATATATATATATATATATATATATATATATATATATATATATATATATATATATATATATATATATATATATATAATAAGTTGAGTCTTTTACAAAACCCGTTTCAGTCTAACAGTCTAACAGGGTTTTTCAGTCTAACAGGGTTTGGAATAGATAAATTGTTTTTTGGCTTGAGGTGTCCTTGCTCTTCAAGAACACCTAAAGTAAGTTTATTTTGGAAGTTACCAATTAGATTAAGAATAATGAAACTGGTACTTTATAATCATTATATAAGTTTTATGTCTGGATTATTCCAGATATATAACGGAATGCCAACATCCTCTATTAATTTATTTATAATTTCTTGAAGATTTTTAAATCCACTTAAAATTGATAGTACCCAGTGAACATTTAGAAAGGATGAATAACAACACATTTATAAAAGAAAAGAGATGTGTATTTTGATATAGTTATATGATCAATGTAAGTTGAGTTTGGTAATGTAAGATATTGATATGTGGGTGCTGGACCAGAACCTTTAGTTACGTCGACTAATTTTAAATCAGTTGATTCAATAAATTCCGATAAAACCGTAGAGTAATTATTTCTCTTGGGGCTAGATTTATCTTGTAGGTTGAATGATCTGCTAGAAAATAATTGGAAATCTCCAAGTATAATCACTTTGCTGCTACCCTCACAACAATTTATAATTCCTTTAAGTATGTCAATCAAGAAATCAAAAAGGAAAATTTTTTTTATATTTAGATTCGCTTGAAGAATTTGGTATAGTTTAAAACTTTTTTTTTTTATCAATTTCATCTCCTTAAGGCTTTATAGGGGAACGTAACAGTCGTTGAGGGTAATTCTTTTTTGTTGTTGTTGCGGAAATCCGGTTGAGCGCGGTACTTCTAGAGGTTTTGAGTGATTAGCAAATTGATCGTTAGCTAGTGATCGTTAGCTAACGGTCGTAAGCAGAGTGATCGTTAGCTAACGGTCGTTAGCGGAGTGATCGTTAGCTATAGCTGAAGATCCTATAAGCTTTAGCTAACGATCGTTAGCGCTAATGTTTTTAATAATATTTTTCAAAAAATCACTTTAAAAATCAAAAAGAAATTGAAAAAGTTGAGGAATAGGTTTTCAAAGTATTAATCCAATTTTTCCAATTAAATTGCATTAAAATCATTTTAAACCATTAATAGTACTGTTAAATCATTTTAACCAATCAAAATTGTTTTATCACGTGATTTTTGTTTATAAATTTTTGCATTTTTTTGAAATTTGTTTATAAAACATAGTTAGGCTTCTACAGTGTTAGAACCAGCGCAGTGTTATAAAACTTTACATCTTAAACTTTAATACATTATCCAAACATAAAAAGCATGGCTTCTGGACAATTACATCAAGAAAGCGAAGATGCTATTAACAACCAAATAAACATGGAGTTGTATGCAAGTTACCAATATCTTTCTATGGTAAGTTTAAACAGTTTTTTTTTTTTTTAACTAGAACGTTATACGATTTGATGTAAGCAAAAAGCTTTTTATTTTCTAATAAAAAATAGAACACTTAATAAATAAAATATATACTTACGAATTTATAGTACCATTGATAAGCTTTAAAATTTTTTTGCTATCTTTTTCTTTAGTTGATTTATTTTGCTGAGCAATGCTATTGTGCGCAACATGTGAGATTGAACAAAATGTTGTGTGCAACTTGTGAGACTGAACGAAATGTTGTGCGCAACATGTGAGATTGAACAAAATGTTTGGTTTCTGTTAGTAATATTTGCAATAACGCTTTCTGATAAAAATGCTTTAATAGTTTTGAATTTTGTAAACTATATTTTTGTAAAAAAAAATATTTAATTCAACCCTTCATAATATGCATGAAGTTAAACTATATAAATTCAAGCCTTCATAAATATGTATGAAGTTAAACTATATAAATTCAAGCCTTCATAAATATGCATGAAGTTAAACTATATAAGTTGTGAAGTTTTTTTTTTTATGCGCTTAAAAAGTTAGAAAAATATAATGGGTTCTTTCTAATTTGACTCACTAAATGTACATTAGTAACTTACTATTAATGTAAAAAAACTTTTAAGTAGTTTTGATAATATAAACATTAAGGATAAAAATATTAAAAAATTAAATTTTTACAGGCCTATTATTTTGATCAAGATGATGTTGCATTAGACGGATACTTCAAGTTTTTCAAGCATCAATCAGATGAAGAACGTGAACATGCTCAGGAAGTAAATGTTATTTTTTTTTTTGTGTAAACTTTTTTATTTTTAATGTCTGTTTTAATTGCATTTAAAAATCTTTTTTATTTTTTTTTTTTAATAATATTCTAATTGTTTTATTTTTAGCTAATGGACTACCAAAATAAACGTGGTGGGCGTGTAGTTTACAAGGATATTCAAGCTCCCAAATTTCAACTGGATACGCCAGTTTCAGCTTTAGAAGCAGCGCTTAATTTGGAGAAGAAAGTTAACGAGTCGTTGTTAAATGTTCATGCCATCGCTGAAAAAAACAGTGATCCTCATTTGTGCGACTTCTTAGAATCAGAGTTCTTGAACGAACAAGTTGAGTCAATCAATGAGATTGCCAAGTTGATTACTAACGCTAAGAGATGCGGCGATGGTTTGGGTGTCTATCAATTTGATAAGTTGAGCATGTCAAGTTAAATGTCAATGTTTTTTTATTTCATTGTTTTGCCTTGAGGACTATACAGTGTAAACAATGTTTTTTGTTAAAGAAAAATAAATATTAAAAAAAAATTTACGATCGTTTAAAGTTTAACTAATAAATTTTTTAAAGATTTTTTACGTTCGAAAGTTTCTTCTTGATTTATTTTATTTTTTATTATTAGTTATGTATTTTAAATAAAAAAGTTACAAAATTTAGGAAATTCAAATATAAAAATACAATGCTGGGGCAAGAAAAAGGCGATTTTGGTCTTACTACCAAGCCCCATAAAATAGAAATTTCAATAACTAAAGTACAAAAACAACGTAACTTCTTAAATTATAAGACATATATTACGCTATATGACAGTGTAATATATCCAAAAGTTTATACAAATACAAAAGTATATCCAAAAGTATATACACAACTAAAAGAACTTTAATAATACTTTTTTAATTTTATTTTTTGATTTCAAATTATTCTTAAAGCATGCTTTTGTTTATTTTAGTTACGTTAGCCCCAGCCGGCACAACTCAGAAAACAGTTACGCTTGGTTTCTGTTGCGTTTTTAAAACCTTCTAAAACAAAAAGAATAACACGTATCCAAAATGGTTTTTATTCCGTGAAATTAACTATTACTATTTACCATAAATACATAAGTATTAATGGTTTCACCGTTCTGGAAACGTAGTATTATATTTTAATAACTTTCCGTAAGAAATGTGAAACCACTAATAAAAATAAGCGACATTTAAATTTGACTTTAAAACCTTAAAAATCACGTGTTAAACTCTAGTAAAACTGCCCGTAATAAACATGTGCTTTTGGATTACGAAAAACACGTATATATATAGGTTTTATTTCCGAAAAAGAAACTAGATGTGCCGATAGGGGCGCTACACAAGGCAACGTTTGCATAATTTTATCAATTAACAAATGCAAAAACAAAAAGTTAAAACTTTTGAACTAATAATTTTTTTTTTATTAAGTCTTTAGAAAAATATTTTATATTACATAGGGGAGAGTGCGAAGAGGTGGGACGCGGGAGAAGTGAGATTAAATTCTTTAATTAGGAGTGGTGTCTAAATACTGTTATTTAATGTAAACAATTAATTTCTTTCCATTTATTCAGTTGAAATTGCTTTATTTCCCTGCGTGTACTAGAAGCCCTAATTTTGAAATGTCCCTTAAAAAAGTGTTTTAATGCTTGTGTGAAAACTCTTGAACATTTTTATGTCGATCTGGTGATTTAAGATTTTATTAGTTTCTATTTAATAATGTGTGATAAAATGTTGTTTTAAATTTATTTGTCCACTTCTACTCACACTTGTCTCACTTTACCCCAATGGTACGGTTTTTCTAACAGCAAAAAATGTGTATACTTAGTTATAATTGGTTGGAAATCTAAGGGGATTGAATTGGTGTCTAAAAAGAAGATTTATTTGTAAAAATTTGTTTGAGTCAGTTTATACATCAAATAAAAAAAATATTGCAATTACCCTAAAAAAATACTTACGTGTCCCACTTCTACCCACTCTTCCCTAGTGTTACGTTTTTTTTATTTTTGTTGTTTTATATTTACGGTATAGACTAAGGAGCTTGGTGATAAGACCAATTATGTCTCTTACTTTCCCCTGCTATTTGTAATTATGTATATTGTATTTATATTATTGTATAATTTATACCATAATATAAATATAATATAGGGGAAAGTGGGGCAACATGGCGAACGTTTTGAAAGCCCTGAGTTATTGAAAAACTATAAGTCGTGAAGCCATAATACTTTCTCGGTATGTTTATGCTATTAAGTTCTTTCATTGCCTGCATGAATTTTTAGTTTGCAAACATAACAATTTGAAATAAATATTAAAATAAAAAGTTCATAAATTTGTCATCTGGTCACGTGACCGGGGCAAGATGACTTATTATGCAATTTTTACCTCCAATTTTAGAAAATTTTAAAAACTGCTAATAACTCTAATTAAAGTAACAAAAAATAAACACAAATTGCTAAAACTACTTCTGAAGAAGTTAAACTTGAAGGACACCAACCATTATAAGAAACCAAAAGTGAGGAATTTTTTTTTAAGCGCAAAAAGTAAACATATTTGTATAAAATGGCGTTAATAACATTTCAAAAAAACCAATCGGTGTTTTAAAATACGAGATGCAAATACGGTTTCGTTTTCACCCAATTTTAAAAATTTTTGTTGAGTTGTTATATGAAAACCCATCTTGCCCCATTCGCCATGTTGCCCCGCTTTCCCCTACATAATTGTATTTATATTATGGCATAAGTTTACATATATAAGTAAATATAAATATATATATATATATATATATAT